CCTACAGGACGCCGGACAAGCAGGAAGCCAGCCCCGCACCGGCCTACAGGATGCCGAACAGGGAAGCCAGCCGCGCACCGGCCTACAGGACGCCGAACAAGGAAGCCAGGGGAATAACGACGACACCGACCAGAAGCCCTCGGCGTGCGCGAGGTGCGGGGCCATGGTGAACCACAACGACGCAGTCCGGGGGTTGCACGAGTGCGACGACCTAGTCGAAAGCGCCCCGCTGTCCGACAGCTTCGTGGCTCAGCTGACCATTTGTCTGGAGTGTGACACAGTGGTGGAGTGCGACAAGCTCTGCCACTGCTACCAGCTCGGTGGCCAGCACGGTGACCCGGTAGGTGTCGTGCAAGTTGACTCGCAGGGTTACTCGCTAGGCGAGCAGCACGGCGACCAGGACGGCATCCAGGACGGCATCCAGGGCGACATCCAGGACGGCGACCAGGACGGTGACCAGGACGGCGAACAGCACGGCGAACAGCAGGAAGGGGAGTCCACGGCGGTAGAGCCACCCCCGAACTGCGCGCGGGAGACTGTACGTGATCAGGAGAGTGACTCTTCTAGTGAAATGGATTGCTCTTCAGAGAACGTGACACCTGTCGGGGCGAGCGGTCCGTCCACCACCAGCGACAACCAGGGGAGACTTCGGTGTCGCCCCATCAAGGAGCTACAAATGGAGGTAGAGGATGCCCCGCCAAATTTGTCGTCACCGCCTGACGCGCCCAGTTCTGATGGAATGCCACATTTGTCACCACAGGGAAAGATCTACCGCCGCATCGACGCACCGCCGATTTTGTCACCGCAGCGCGTTGCCCACCAGACGCACTCGCCGCCTCCCTTGTCACCTCTGAATGAACCCCCCACGAGCGGAGCACCTCTGCGTTCATCACGCCAGGAAAGCGAGGACGACGAAGAGGCCGCCGAACTCTTAGCAACCCCGATCCTCCAGACTAACTCCCCCCAAACTGCTGCAGTACATCCGCACTCGACGCCTCTGCTGGACACTGAACAGTTGAGTCTTGTCCCCCAGAGCCATGTCCACAGGGCCTCGGCGGCCACCGCCCCCAGACAGCCGTGCCTGCCGTGCCTGATGTGCCCCGAGTCCGAGGCCGTGCTCATGACCAGCCACGACCTGGACGCACACATGTTCGAGGCCCACGGCGGCACCGCGGGCGACGTGCAGTGCGGGGCGTGCCAGGTCCACTTTCGCGACGAGGACACGCTGCTTGCGCACGCCCGCCGCTGCCACGACGGCCTCCTCTTCGACGTGGCGCTCCTCGGCGCCTCGGCCGCGCAGGGGGAAGCCGTGTGTCGGCTCTGCTGGCGCCAGTTCGCCGACAAGGCGGCCGTGCGCACGCACCAGGAGGCGCAGCACATGGGCGTGGTGCCGCTCGACCGCCTCGAGCACCTGGCCTCGATGCTGCTTAACCTGCGGCTCACGCACGTCAGCGGCCAGGACCCCGACGGACGCGCCGAGGACGACGCCGAGGTGGAGATTGTCGGCGAAGTGTCGTCGCCCCATACCTACGGCGGCGCCCGCAGGTGCGATTGCGCGAACTGCCTTGGGGTGATACGGAGACGTCCTACACAACAGTTAATCAACTCCAGGATTGAAACGCACACGCGGTGATGTTGTCAGCTAACGTTAGTTGTTAAGGGCCAGCGTAAGAGATTAAGTGAGGTAAGCAGTATTGAGAAAAAAGAATTACAGAGTGAAATGGACACCTTTGCGATTAGTATGCAGCAGTGAATCTCAGTGTATGTGTAGAATTAGGAAGTAAATGTGAGAGGTAGGTAAGATGGCGAGGGGATGTGCGCCGACCCCGCCTATACAGAAACACAGCCAGGAGCGAGCTTTTCTGAGGAGATGTTGCGGCGGTGGTGGATTGGCTACCTGCTTCCGAGGGTCCACGCAAAGGGATAGGCGGGACCCAGCCGGCCCATGTGTTGCGGGGGTAGCTGAGGAGGTAGTGGTGCAGAAGAGCTCCCATAAGAAAAGCTCGCTCCTAGTTGTGTCTCCCTATATCTTTGCTTTCCTCTCATGTTCTAGTAATAATTACAAGGCGCCACTTTGCGCTGTTTCACCATGTGTCTTGTCCGTACCTGAATACTCTCATTATTTGTAAATTGTTAATTTGCCTTATCTTGGCATGTGTTAATTTGTAGTTTTTTTTATGGAATCAAAGACTTATTTTTGTTTTGAATTGTTAATGTATTTAACTTCAACAAGCACTATTGGAGTACACATAAAAAGAGAATGTATAGTTTATGAACTGTTACTCTCATTATTTTTTATTTGATGAAATAAATAATTGAGGGACACCAAACAAATTAGTGTTTCTACATGCTAGGCTAGTGTATTTATACCTTTACATTGGCTAAACTAAAGACTATAAATTATATTTTTCTCAAATAAATTATGTTTATGGCAGTTGATGAGTAAAGTAGACAATAAAATACGTGCCATTCCCGAGGCTTCGACCCGTCAATCCGCTGCAGTACCAGTCTTCGTACTTCAAATTATCCTCTCGCTCGTTAATTCATTTCTTCCCGTCTACTGAGGACCAAAGTGTCGAACTGACAATGTTACAACTAATGACATGGGCTGGTTAGGAAAACAAAAACAGTCAAATGTGCCCATTTGCTCACGGGCATCATCTGACGGCCAGCACGAGCAGCACCTGTAGGAGCAGACCAGCGACGCACAGCGGGACTGACGGGGAGGTGCGGAGCGGTGCGGAGGCCGGCGCGGCCACGGGCTCGGCGCCGACGCACAGCACGCCGCTGGGCCGCAACAAGTACCTCATCTCGTCCGGGTACCGGCAATCGTCCTCTGAAACAGAAGCAGGGCCCAGTCGCGTTGAAAACACCAACCGCAGTATCGATCCCCAGGAGGGCTAGCCTGTGCTGGTTTGTGGCACCTTGCCGTACTCAGACGAGTGTGCACAATTTTTACTCGTTCTTTACCAACCCACTTTCCCTTCTCGTTGGTAGGAAGAACGAGTATTGTTCTCAGTGCTGTGTAACCCTTTTTCTGTTCCTGTTTTCATCTCAGAACACACAACACCTACACACATGACAATAGTACCACTGTAAAGCGGGAACGCTGGTCTCAATTAAAGCAATGAACCTTTTTTCAGGTTTAATAGTGTATTTCGACTAACGGAGGAAGAAGAATAGCGGGTACAACATAAAGGTCCGTGATTGGCCGAGCGCATACCCCCACTACTGGCGTGACGTAGAGGCGGGAAGCTCTCTACCAATCGGTAACGTTTATGTTCTACCCGCTCTTCTTCTTCCTCCGTTAGTCGAAATACACTATAGTATAATTTTGAGCACTCTTAACAAATTTTGCGTTTTCATTCTAAGTCCCAGACCAGAGCTTATTTTGAGCGTGTTGAAAAACGTAGTTAAGCAACGAAAATGGATGATGCATGCATCTTTGAACTTATGAGATGTTAATGAAACTGTTTTATTAACATGTTTAGAGTCGCTACCGAAGCATTTTAATGAGTTTACTTAACAGATCCTCCTAAAAACTTGCAAGTGCTGTGACGGTGGAGGAGTGCGTGAGGTTATGGTGGCGCCATCCGTGCTGCTATATCTGTGGGCGGACATAGTAACTACTTCACAGTGAGCGCGCGGGCGTTTTAAATGTACCTTTTATCGCCACGGAAAACCCTCGATCACCCTATACACACACTTCTCCATTACTCTGAGATAAAAGCAGGAACTGATTTTGAAGAACTACCGTGGTTTGGTTAAGAACGAGTTTCCTACTTAGCACAAAATTCATTTTGTGTTCATAGTTTCCCTTGTCTTATATATGAAGGGTCACAGGGGTCATGTATAGCTTTTTGCGGATGGCAATACACATTGACCACTCATGAGGACGTGTTTGAGGGCGGGTCATGGCCTCCACCTAGGGAGTTTAAAGTCCAAAATTTTTCCAGACATTGAAATATTTTCAGAATAACTGAGAAAATAAATAAATGAAACTTCTCACAAAAAAATAAAGAAGTCAAAAAAAATGAAAAATTTCCCACTACTACTAGTTTGGAAAATTAAAATCCCTACCTCCACTGCCCGTACTGTACCTGTGCACTTGAAGTACGACTTGGTGCCGTATACGCTGACGTACAGGGGCGCGCATCCGCCGGCGCACGGCTCGCCGATGGTCACGTTGCCCTCCCCGGAGCCCTCCATGTTGACGCACTCCACCTGCGGGGCTCCGTCGACGTCCTCGTCGTCCAGGCCGCCGTCCTCCTCGGCCCGGAGCGCGGCCCTCATGGCGGCCGTGGGGCCCCCGGGTGCGGCGCCCCGCCACACGCACAGGCGCAGGTCGCCGTAGTCCTCGCCCACGATCTGCAAGCGGAGCAAGCGCATGAAGGTGAGCACCCACCCAAGCATCCAGAAAGGGCAAAAAAAAAAAAAAAAATCTTCTCTGAGAAATTTCCATCATTCTTGCAGTCTTTTAGTTGGTACCTGCACGCTCGCTGGATGCCCGGGCCGAAGGTAAACCGAGTTGATCCGGTACAGGCGAAGCTGTCCCGGTGAGACGTAGTCCTCGAGCTGGCCGCCGCCCCAACCGCCGCCCGGGGAGGCCGCCCCGTCGCGGGGGCGGGCGCCGCGGGCCTGGGGGCGGCGCACCCCGGGGGCGGCCCAGACGTGCGCGCCGTGCTGCACGGGCCAGGCGCCGGGGCTGCCGACGGGGACGTGTCCCGCCGGCCGGGCCGTGCTGGAGGCGCCCAGAGAGGCGCCGCCCTGCGCCAGCACGCACTCCGGGGGCACGAGCCGGCCCGGCGCTGCACAGCCAGAACCAATCAGACACACACTAATAGTGTACTTCGACTAACAGAGGAAGAAGAAGGGCGGGTAGAACATAAACGTTACCGATTGGTCGAGAGCTTCCCGCCTCTACAGGGTGGTCCACAGACCCCATCCTTTATTTTGCTTATACTGTACCGGATGCAGGCGTGCGACCGGGTTGCATAGTCGCACGGGGCCATAAGGCGCCGTAGTGAGTGACGATAGGCAAGCCCGCCCGCACGCCTGCATGCGGTACAATAATAAGCAAAATAAAGGAAGGGGTCTGTGGACCACCCTGTACGTCACGCCGGTGGGGGTAAGCGCTCGGCCAATCAGGAACCTTCACGTTCTACCCGCTCTTCTTCTTCCTCCGTTGGTCGAAATACACTGTACGCCGAGACTGTCTCTGGTGCGCGGTTACGCTCGTGCTTACCCTCGCGGAGTTGGTTGGTGACCGCATGCGCGACGGAGGCCGGCGAAAGATCGTCAACCACGACAACAGCGTCTTCCCATTCCAGGTTGAGGTTGACGAGCTCCTGGAATCGGGCTTCACCCATCTCCGTGACGATGTACAGCAAGCGGGTATCTGGATAGGGACAGAATAACTTCGTTTTCATAAGAGTAGGGCTGGCCTGAAAACGGTGGCGCCATGCGTTTCGCCTTCACGACAAGGTGTAGTTGAAGGCCGGATCTACTTTTACTGCCAATCTTCTACACACCTGGGTTGAGTTCCTTGAGCTTTGGCACGAGGGCCTTGGCGTGGCGCAGGTCCGTGTCACTGACGGTGGACTCTGTGGCCAGGATGACCACGACGTCGCCGTGGGTGCTGCCCGCGGTGCCGCGCGCCGACTCGGCCTCGGCCTTGGCCTGCATGTGCTCGATGACCGCCATGAGTGTCCACGGCAGGTCGAGGTACGTCGGCCAGATGTCGTCCACGGCGTCGACGCGCGCCCACTCGGTGGCCAGCTGCACGGGGCTGTCGGTGAAGTTGACGATCCAGTGGCCGCCCGTGGGGCCGCCAACCCCGCCGTTCATCACGGCGATCCGGGAGCCGAAGAGACCGACGTCGATGCCGACTACGCTTGTCAGCGTCCTGAGGGGGCAGGCGATGTCAACCAGTCCGAGTCCAGGGCTCGAGATATCGCGCGCACACCAGGTGTTTCTCTTAATGCGCTGCTCCAGTATTACGGGATAAAGCATTCCGGTAAAGCTAAAATGCAGAAAAATGCAGAGAACAACAAAACGGAAGTTCCATGTAAAAACATAGTGATTTCCGTTTTCTTCTTCCTCGCATTCTTCTGCATTTTGGCTTTGCCGGAATGCTTTATTGGATTGCATACTCGTTAGGGATCATGGCGAATCGGTAGGCAAACCCGCAAGACAGGACCGCATTAAAAGAGACGCCCGGCATGTCCTCGTGTCGTCATCCACTCACGCGAGGAAAGCAAAGGCGTCCGTCCGAGTCCACGTCGTGTCCAGGACCACGAGGGCGTTGACGCGCACACTCAGCACCGGCGCTGGGTCGCAAACGTCAGCGTTGAGCAGGTCGCCTAAAAATAGCGAATAAGAATTGAATTTATTCAACTTTCGGGTACACGGAGAGAAAATACCCCTCGTATCAGCCGCAGTCCCATTCGAGTTACCCCCCCCCCCCCCGCCTTCTCCTCATTGATAGTGTATCGAACCTCAATTAAGATGGTATCGCATCGTGATCGAAGTATTGAAATACTATCGCACACCCCTCCACCGGTGAACAAAGGCCCGAACAAGAAAAGGAGCTAGGAAATGCTTCCAAGGAAAAGAGTTTGTGTATAGAACGTTTTTTGTCCCACCTTTCTCCCTCTTTGCCCTCTTTGTCATCGAACTCTTTCCTCCTCGTAGAGTCTTCCCTGACTCGTGGCTTATAGTCTTCCATCATATTAGGTTTTCG